TCAACACTCACCTGCCGCTCTCCGACGCGCTCCTCGTGGGCACATGTCCGTTGTGTTCCGCGTCCGAGCGGTCCGTGTTGGAGCTCCCGTCCGTCTGCCCGCGCTCGCCGGGGTTGATGCTGCCGTAGTTGCGCACAGCTCCCGCCAGCTCGTCCATTTCTGCACGACACAAAAACCGCCAAATTTGATAACTCTAAAAGCGTTTCCATTTATGTATGTGCAGACAAGATAAAGATATGTTCTCGTTTGTTTGTTTGTTCGTTTGTTTGTGTAAAGAGAATCAGCAATTAGATGTATCAGGTGCGCCGTCCGACCGACCGCTGCTTTCAACGTGAAAATGGTGAAATGGTACGGGTTTAACGCCCCTATCAATACTAATAGGTTATTTAAGAGACCAGGCCTCCTAGTTTAACGTCCGTCTCCGAAAGGACCGGGCCAAGTGGGAAATTCGTGTTAAGTGCCTTTCCCAAGGACACAACGTCGGACCGAGCTGAGGCTCAAACCCCCGGCTTTCAGCGTGATTACATCTAAAATGGATAAATGGAGCATGGAGCGAGTACGAGATAGCATTCAGCTGGAGAAGTCTACGCTATTAAGTTTACGTTGCACTGTAAAGCGCTGTCTTCATTTTTGTTGTTGAAATGGTAACAATTTGACGCCCCCATCAACATTTGACATTGCCTATCCACAAATGGCCCAGATGTTCTGAATGGGACGCAACATCCCAGCAGATAGACATTTTCAGTTTAAAAAAAAAACCCAATCAAAACTTACCCATTCGGGAGTAGAACTCACGGCTTCTACATACGCGAGTACAATAGCACATATATACTCTAAAAACGTCATAATGTGCTCAAATAGACGTCCTCTTTGAATGAATTCATTTTTTTTACTGTAGGGTGTTTTACGCCACCATCAAGTCAACAAGACAGAAAGATAGCCAGACAGTAACCACAGACGAAAACTTATATTATAAAACATAAATATTATGTTTTATATTTCAGTACGCATTTTACAGCACTTGCAACACAGCAATTTGTTTATTTTAGCAACATAAGGGAGAGGTAAGGACGATAGATGGTTTTTTGTTTTTTTTTGGTAAGTGTTTTGTGGCGCTCGCAACTGCATAAGGCCATATGAGCGCGCAAGACACAATAAACTGTTTCAGTTGGTAGAAAATTTTGAATTTTGCCCGGGTGGCGGCCGGGGCCTACTCTTATCGATTCTAGACCACCAACGGGTCTTTAACGTGCGCAACTTGCACACGGGCCCTCCGACATTTTTCGCCCTTGTCCGAGAAGACTAGGTGTAGATCTTTCCTACCAGAAAGACAGCAATAAGAAGGAGCCACGGAGTAGCAGCAGAAAGGCTGTAGAAAGAGTCAGGGGCCCAGAGGAGAGGGCAAAGGGGGTGAGGGTAGAAAGTGGAGACGAACGCAGACGGCAGAACATTGCTAGAGAGAAGGAAAGGAGGTGAAAGGGGGTGAAAGGAGACAATTTTAGAGAAGAAAATTATTCGGTCGCTACCCGGATTCGAACTCGGGACCTTTGAATGAGAGGCCAACACCTTAACCTCTAGGCCACGAGAAACCCCCGATACATGTTTGATAGGAAAGAAGGAGCAAACTCCACCGGAACACCCACAGATCAATCACATGCAGAATCAAAGGAATCCATCAAATCAGAGAAGCTTTTGAGAATTTGTTTACGTTAAAAAGACACAAAGAAGACCTCGAAGACTTTATTAAGACAAACTGTATGGCTCTTTTCGTCTAAGCAAACGGTCATTTTAGCTTAAGATGGTCTCAAAGTTGTCTTCATGTAGCTTCTTTCATGATTAATTCTTCCTATGTTTGAAGCGCACATTCTGTCGCAGTGCTTGCATGTCAGTGACGTGGATCGAAGCTCTGTATTTCCGCTGTTTTCCTTTCGTCGTTGGCGCTTCTCTCCCTGGTAGTTTCTGAGCTCTAGCATTATAGTCTTTTCTTTATCATTTTCCTCCAAAAACTACAACGGGGCAAAAGAGGGGCAGTGAAAAGAGCGGTTGAGCGATATATACATGTACAATACTTTTTTTTTAGAGGGGTGGGGTGCATGGGAGCTGTTTGAGTAGAAAGCGCATCGACACACTAGTGGTCATTTAGTGCTGGGAAAAAGTAAGACAGGCAGAAAAAACAGAGGGAAAGTAAAGAAGTAGGACCTACCCAACCAATAGCGCCCTCGGGGGGGCGAAATTAGTAACCACGCGTGAAATGAACACAATATTATTGTTGGGATTGTTTTTTTGCGGTTTGTTTCTTTGTCTAGATCTAAGTAAAGGAAGCACATCGACACAATAACGGCCATTTAGTACAGTACACAAAAAAGTAAGAGAGAAAGACAGAAATAACAGAGAAAGAAAAGAAGTAGACCTACCAGTGGCGCCCTCCAACCACCCACTGTTCCTGTGTAGAAATGACAAGAGTTGTTGCCTCATGGCGAGACGGAAAAAGTGTCACTGTGCTTCAGGGAAACACACCATGAACGAATGGCTGTGTCGGAGAGCGTCGGTCTGTCCAGTTCGTGAGCATTCTTTTCTTTTTTTTTTAACATTAGGGTGATAGACGGCAACAGACAGACAGTAGAAAAGTTGAATCTACACGCAGCGCC